TCCAGGGCCTTACAAATTAAAATTCCCTAACATTTAAAATGCTGGTTTTATAACTTGGGGAACTCTACTTCTTAACTACTCTACTTCTTCGTTAAACTGTTAACACTTCCCTGGAACTCTGGGGAAAGCCCTGTTTTAAGTCAACCAAACTTATTCATACTGAACTTTCATAATAACCTGCAGAGAGAATCTAGCTGAAATCCACCATGTCTGTTGCCCCAAAAACCTTCTTTAATGTCTTTATATTTGGTCGTACAAAGTATTAGATAGAAGAATAGCTTACTCAGCTTCATTCGACAATAAAGGAGCACTCATTCAGTCTCTCTCAGGGCACAAAACACAGATTTTATTTAGTCTCATAACAAAACCTGAACTTGCAAGAAATTTTTGTTGATTATTAATGAAAAAATAATTAAATTTCCCTTAAATGTTCAGGCTAAGGTAAGACCATGAGAACCCAACTGTATAACTTTTTACCTGAAGAATAATCCTGTTGTAAATACTAAAAGAACGAAAGAAGTGGTATTGTCATTATACAAGATTTTTCTGCATAAAAAACCCCAAATATCCATGAAAACATGTAAAATATGAAACAACACAGAGCGTCTCACCTCACTGCCCCAGAGGTCCTGCAGGTCAGGATTATTGGTTCCTTCTCTCTGCAACTTGTTCTGCCTGTTATGGCTAAACTAACTTGTAATGGGTTTTACCTCAAACTAGTTTGGGTATATAAAAAAAATAACAATTACAGGCCATCGTACTGTACACCCAACAGAGCCCAGACACACTGCTGGCAGAGAAAATATTCATTCAAACTCGGAGATAAACGATCATTTTTGAGGATAAAACTTCTTATCTTACATAGAAATGTGGCTAAAATGGATAGGATCGTGAGAACTGCTGTACAAATGAAACTCTGTTCATTGTATTCTTTCCACCCTTTTGTTTATAGTCTAGGGTAACAAAAACGTACTGTCCCTCTGCTGTTTGCTGCAGTTTTACAAAACCAAAAAGCCCCTTTAAGTTCTTCTGAAAGAGACTGAAAAAATAAAGGGAAAGGAAGTGTCAGCATTGCTCTTTTCGCGGTATTTGTTGACAATATGTATATATTAATCAATCCACGTCTGGAGGGGATCTTTAAAAGATAATTCAAGATAAAGGTTGAGAGATTGGGTCCAGAACAGTTGGCTTTGAAATAGCTTAAATAACACAGTTTCTCACAAGACTTTGAATCACACAAGGATGTTGTGGTTTTGGTCAATTTGAACTTTATTGACCTGGTGTCAGAGTCCCCTGTGCAGCTTCTCTGGTGCGGTTAAATATTCAGGTTTTTCCCTGGTCGATGGCTCACAGTGAACCTTAAGGAATGTTGGATGAGTCTGAGAAGAAGTCAGCGGTTTTCATCCTGACAAAGAAACCTCTCAGTCTGTTTCATTCTCACCCAAACACCAGCAGAGTCCCTCAAAGCCTCAGCAGCTGCACAGCGGCCTGCAGAGTTTAAAAGATGAATCTTTGTTTTGAACTTAAACACTTTTCTGATCCTCCCTGCCACAGCAGATCTGAGGTCAGGCTGCTATGATGCATAAGATAATTAAAGTGAAAGATGACCGTATGTTTTTGCCTGATTCACCATGGCTGTGCCTAAATCTGGAATTACCTCTCATTAATCATGGTTTAGAGTTACAGTTTTATGTACTGTTAAACACACCAACATGTATACAGCACTGTATAACCACAGGAATTGCTGTGTATTTGTTCATTATTTATATTATCAGTTCAAGCTACCCTTAATGTGTATTATATCACTGACATTTAATTTAATTTTCCATTTTTGTATCTTTTGTGAAGTGCACATGTACTGTACTGCCATATCAGGTATTATGTTCTACTCTTCAAACTTCATGCACTTGACACTTACTTACACTTACAATTACTTTTGACCCGGAAGGGCAAACTTAAAAAGTCTAAAATCCAATATTTAGAATTTTACATGTGATTATTATAAATTAATTTAACAAAATGTCTGTAAACAACTCAACAATAAGTTTAAATGCTGGTTACTGATGTAAAACAGGTATTTGTTTTCACTTTGGGGAGAAAAAGGGACAAAAAAGCCCAACAGAAACATCTTTAGATCACACCATAACACCATCTCCAGGAGCTCACACACTCTTTAGCACTCCTTTAGTTACCAAACACATCAGAGCCTCAACAGAAAGTAGTGAGAACCAAGCAGTGTTGATAACGTGGTTCCTTCACAGTAAAGAGTTTTTGTCAATACATCTAAATGTAATCATTTTAAATTGTATCACTTCAGGTCTGCTAGAGTTGGACTGACTAGATTCATGGTGTGTTCTGGTCTTCACACAGACTGTATTAACTGGTAGAGGGTATAAAGTAAAGCTGCTGTGTGTTTTTATCCCCCTGCAGGCGTCTCTCCTCTCCGGGCTGCTCCTGTTCACGCTGTGTCTCGTCTTTTCTTTCTGCCAGGAGGAATATTCTGGATACCACTCAGGTCAGAGCTGCCACCCGCTGCTGTGATCAATTGTTCTTAACTAACACCTACTGAACACAAATTTTACTTTTATTTATCATTAACAGCTTATACAACAAAAGGAGACACAGTAGAAACAAACAAAACTATATTGGTTTTATTTTAAGAAATGTTCCATTTGTGCCAAACGGTTATATAAAATATTAAAGGGACATTGTGTAGGAATTTCTCCCATCGCGCGGTGAAATTGTATTTTGCGTTCAAACGAATAGTGCTCTCTAGCGCCCTTGGTTTTCAATGGTATTGCAACTGACGGTAGCATTATTACCAAAAGTATGACAATCATGTTTCCAAATCACTTCAGCGAGTGTTCTTTGGGGTTTTGGCTGAGTTCGTTATTCACAAACTGAAAATCTGCATTGATCATCTAAATGTGGCATTTATAGAATTATCCTCGGCATGCCATGTTTATGTTGTTTTTTTTGGTAGCCTGCCATTAAGGGCCCTATGTCGTGCATTAAAAAACCTGTATTCTGACGTAACATTGACTTACTGTGGAGGGAGAAAGGCCAGGCACTCGATGTCCTTCAGTCTTTCTCCATTAGCTCTTTCCACCTGGGAAAAGTATCCCCGATGTTGACCTCGTTTTCTGAATACGCCGTCAGTTGCCTTTTATCCTTTGCTTTCTTCCCGACGATACTTCTTGCTCTGTGCTTAGCATAAGTATGTCCCTTCATTTATACTAAGGCAGTGCGGACTTTTAATGTGCAAGGCAGTGCAAGCGCCTCTCATTATCTCCTTCTCCTTATAGCTGGTTTCAGTTCCGTGCGCTGGCTCTGAACGAACCGCGTTGCTTAGCTAGCAGGTAGGGCTATGCTGTATGTCCTCTGGGATGTAGTTTTTACTCAATTATGGCGAAACGCATGGCAGGTCTCCTGGACTTGCCCGTCCATGTATAGAATTCTTGCTTACGGTTAGTCATATTGGAGGGTATTTGCACCCAAATGAGACCATTTATTTTGAATGAAGACATGATTTAGAATAAAATACTTAAATATACACATGTCTTTTAAAGGGGGGATAGCGATTAAAATGTGTATGTTTTAGAAATGAAACATTGTTGTGGTCTAAAATATAAATAGGCTATCTGTCACATGTTATGGTATTTACAGATTTATTTTATGTTACATACCTAATTTAAGAAGACCCATCTTAAAACCTGCCTTTTCTTGGTAGCTGCATTGTGCTGCTTCTTCCTCACGAGACTCTTCAGTTGTAATTAGTTTTTTAGTAGTATTTGCAGTGAATCCATGTTTAAATTAGGCTAGTCCGGATTTGAACCGGGGACTCTCGCCCGAAGCTGGATCATACCCCTGGCAACGAGCCAGCTCACAAGTTTGACATCCCGTAGAAAACAGGTGTGACGTGCTTCTTTACTCCAGGTGAGGAACCCCTATGAGGTCTTGGTCGACCACTACGGCGCTTGCTGCTCTCAACCCTCCCCCCGGGTGAGACAGGCCCCCCGTTTTCCTCTTATTGTGTTTACCTGTATGTCGTGAAGATGTACAGATGTGGAAGACACGTCTATAAGTTTGTCCTTGTGTCCATCAAGAGTATCACTGAGCGACTACGCTACGATGAGGACAGAGGCCGAGAAAGGGGATCGACCCTGGCCCGCCCCCACACGGGCACCATGATCACGAGGACCCTTCCTACCCACACCACGAGTCCCATACGGGCAAGCGAGGCACGGCCATGCAGGACGCTCCCTAGGTCTTGAATGGGGTCACGCGTGCTCTGTTTCGAGATGGAAAACATCTCACCTCAGTCCTTATCAGCCGCTTGGAGTTTCATTCATACCAGACCTCAGGGAGTCTAGTTGTTCAGTGATTTGACAGCGACTTCTTTTTCACTTATTTATAGGTGCAATGATAATTTACTTTACATTAATTAAAAGGTCCCTGTGTGTAGAATGTGGTCAGTATGTTTTTCACCTGACCCATACTTACACAAAGAAGAAACAGAGCTGTTATCTCTTAAAGGACCAGTGTGTTGTATTTAGTGGCATCTAGTGGTGAAGCTGCAGATTGCAACCATTTGAATGAAGCTCAGGCTGTGCAGGAGAAACCACAGTGGTTATTCCTGTAGAGACATAGAGGACCCGCTCCCTCTGTAGATAAAAGCAGCTCATTGTAAGGTAACAAAAACATGATTCTTATTTAAATGTTTAATTTAAATATATTATACTTTGGCAGAAAAGAACTGTTACCAAACTGCCGGAAGTTAATGGAACGGAAGGCCCTAACAGGTCCAATAAATCAGGTTTAGAGCTCAGTTTGTGCTAAAAATACATTTCATGGTAGCAAAAAGTATTTTAGGTGGTGTAGATGTGAAACCTTATCACTAGCAAATAAACACACCTTAAAAAGCTTCAAATATATTTTTCCTCTGGTTGTCTGTGTGGTTTAGGAGTTACAATGCCAACCTTGAACTGCATCATTTGTTGTTTAAATCTGCCTGTGGACTTTTGTTGCCTCTCCCTCCTTTCCTGTCATTTCTCCACTATAACTGTATAATAATCTCATAATGTGTTCACCTCTTCATGTTTGTAACCCCAGGCTCCCTTATATTTCTAAATTTAGGGTATAACATTTCCCTTAATCAACATTCAGAGTCAGATTTATTTTTTTACTTTATTGTTCCACATACTTTTCACCTTAATTTCAACATAAAATGATGAAAGATTGTAAAAAAAATTGCAAAAGTGAACCACATTTCAAGAAAAGTTTCAAAATAAAAGTAACAATAATAAGATCAAGACAATTCTTATTGTTTTTATGAGAGTAAATATGCATTTCTCAGCAGACAGTCCACAGCACGTATTCTCACGCTCCCTGGGGTGTAATATTGTTGTGTTTCAGGTCCCGTATCCAGCAGGACCAGACACAGACTCCTCTGAGGAGTCTGGGCTTGACGCAGCACTCGTGGAGGAAGGGCCGACAGAGTGCGACTGTGAACCCGGAGAGCCTGGGTTCGCTGGCTTCGCAGGACCAAAGGTACCGACTCATCATATCAGCGTTATTTTATTCTCCTTCCTGCTGTCAGTGGTGAAGAAACTCCTCTGGCTTCTGAAAACATTACACTGGCCTGATGGAGGAGCTGTTATTCTCCATCAGAATTTAAACTTTCTCATCTCATGCATCAAATCCTTTTCCTGTATGTCATTTAGGTTTTTTTTAAACAGTCTAATGGAAGCTTTCATGTTAAAAAGTAGTTTTTGTACATACTGACTGAATTTCTGGAAATAAACAGAGAAAGACTTGTAATTTTACACAAAATCCTGTTTAATTTTTGGCTTTTTAATGTTTAATTAAAGATATTTGCACATGTAAAAACAATGAAATTACCTATAAATTCAGACGAACACTGCTATAATAATAATAATAATAATAATAATAATAATTAGGCTTACATTTATAGAAGAGTGTTGTTATTATTTAGTATCATTGATTTTTCTTTCTTTTCATTTTAAGTTATAGAACTGTAATAACCATCTGTGAAATTACAGTAATTATTGCTTCAGTGATAAAAACTGTATTTTGAAAGTTTACCAATGCTTATTAACTTATAAAAAACAAAACTTCCATAATTATAAGAGATATCTGTCAATTAACAAACAAATCCATATAAAATTACAGAACAAATACTTTGTTTTACTGTTAACTAATTCTATATAATCTTAGAAATGTATTAAACTTGAATTTAATCTATTAAATAAACTGAAAATATCTGCAAAACAATTATAGATTTGCAAATGTAAATGAAAACATTTGAATTTCTTTGAATAAGATGTAATTTTATGATTATTTACAGTTACAGATTTTCCATGTTATTTGACATTAGACATGTAAATTCCCAGGATCTTTGTGTAATTTTATTAATATTTCCATGTATTTAAAAAATACAGAAAATACTTGTGAAATAAACAGAAAAACCCTGCAAACATACATTGTTTGATGATTGTTTACATGATTGTTTTATTGTTAATGACACTGAACCTTCCTCTCAGACACCTCTGGTAAACAAAAATATATGTAATTGATCCTTTATGATCATGTGCAATTCCTATAATGAACACATCACAACAATATCCTCTGTGTCAACTTTTGCACATATATTGTCATTTTTCTGATGATTTGTGTAACATGTTGTATTTATTATTTTTACTTTGTTCTGCTTATTATTCTACAGCAGTACTGCAGTGTATTTGTTGCTCTATATATTTACCATGTTGTTACATCAGCAAGAAAATCAGTTTATTCTAGAGATCCATATGTTTCTATCTGAAATCAATCTTGTTCAATAAATGCATACGTCTGTTATCTTTTTCCTGATCTGTTATTGATTTCTTTTTCTATTTCCTGTCAGGGATCCAGAGGTCTGCAGGGTAAAACTGGTAGGCCGGGGATTCAAGGCAGAGAGGTGAGAGTCTAAAACATTGTTACAGCACATTTATATTTGTGACTTATTATTATTATTAATCACATTTACTGTGTATCATTTTTGTAAATAAATAAGTAGCATGAAGGAAACTACAACCTGGACTTCATTATATAACCCATAGCACCCTGATTAATGATGAGAAAACCTAAACAACAGAAGAATCCAGTTACGGCTGAGCTGAGGTGGTTTTGCTGCTGCAGAGCTCACTGGGAGACTTATTTAAGGTTTTATTTGTGTATTGTTTGTTAGGGTTATAAAGGAACCAAAGGGGTTCGAGGAAGAGGAGGAGACACCGGACTGGTGGTGAGTAAACAATCAACTGGATGAGGAGCAAACTGAAGAAAATGAAAATGAAACAAAAGTAAAACTAAACATTTTAAAATTCCATACCTCAAGTTAGGACAACAAAATCAAATTTTAAAAACATATTCTACAAACTAAACTGTAAAATCAAAGCTATTTGATTTGTAACTGTGTACGTCACTCACTGTCTCTGAGTGATAAACAACAACAAGTCCTCAAAACTAAAAGCAATTCATATTTTTTAATGTTTGTTTATTTGTAACATTTTTAACCTTTGACCTCTCGTCTCGCAGGGCAACGCTGGTCCTGAAGGAGATGACGGAGGTTCTGGTTTCTCTGGAGCCATGGTGAGTTCACTGACCGTCCCACAGTGCTGGTTGTTTTGGATATAAGAACACAACACTGTAACGTATAACTATCTAATAAATGTACCTTATGTTGACAACAGGGAGAACCTGGACTTCCAGGAGACCCAGGCGAGCAGGGAGAGCTGGGCCTGAAGGTAAACACACACGCATTCATTATTCAGTCTTTTCACTTTCTTCATAATGGTTCACATATTTATACATTTTAATAAATTAAATTGGTTCTTTTAGTGAAATATTCGAAAAAATTGTAGTTGATAACTTGATAAAATTGTAGTTTTTAAATATTCTTTGTTATTGTTTATGAATATTTTAGAATTAATGAGCAGTGAAAATGTTTGTTGACAGGTTGTGAAAGTAATCTTTGTTGTTGTATACGTATGCATCCATGAACAGCTGCAGCAGATGTGTTTTATTCATATCTGACATCCCTTCCTGTCCACAGGGCGACATCGGTATGGAGGGACCACGCGGAGGAGTCGGAGGTCTCGGTGAGACTGTAAGGAAACAACCTCAACCTCTGAACTGAACTTTGTTGTAAACAACATATGACTGTCATTTCTCCCCATTTCTTCCTGTTTCTGCTCTGTGTGTTTGACCTCTGCATATTACATTAAAGTAAAACGAATTACATTCAAACTGAGAGACATTAAATTACAGACAAAATGGAAACTGTAAGACGGGAGACAAATCAGTTATAAGATACAAAATTTTAAAGTTATTTGTAAAAAAAATATTTTTATTCAGAATTTTAAAGTACAATCATGCTAAGTTTATTTTTCGATGTATCAGTTAAAATAGTTGTGATTTAGAAATCTAAATACATAGAAAGAGTTTTAAATGTTTATATTTAAATAAATATAAATTAAGTAACTCAATATTTTTCAGAAACTCGCTGATATTTTACATTAAACAGTGTTTAATTGTCAATTTGCTACACTACATGAATCCTGGAAACAACCCTAAACTAAACTGGGGCTCAGTTACAACATTTTATTTGATACTAAAATAATTATCTTGAAAAAACAAAATTATCTTGAGAAAATGTGAATAAAATCCTTGCACACTGGGGTTCTGCAGTACGGAGGCACTGATATAAAAATAAACATTTTTATTTATTTCTTATAAGAAACCTCTCGTCTAGTAAACATACAGAGGCAGATGAAGAGGCAGGAGGGAAACCACCTGCTGATCCAGGTGATCTTCGTCTGTCGATCCAGGATTTGTTGCTTTATTGGTTGGAAATCACCCAGGCTTTTGGTTTCTCCAGCTGTTAATCAGCCGTCACCACGCTCCGTCACCTCGTCCACAATCAGGTGCCGCAGTGCACAGGAAAAGAGACTGCTGGTGAATTTGGGGGTTTACCAGCCGACAGCTGCTGCTGACGCTCTTAAACCACACGTGAAATTAATTGCGTTTTTCAATTCTAGTCCAGTATTTTCCAAACCTTTTCTTTTTCCAAACTCTTAACACCAACTGCACTAAATTGTGTGAATTTATTGATCACTTAACCATCAACCACCAGCAAAACCCGCTCTTTCTATGGCTCAGTTTGTCAGTGTTTGCGTCCTATATTTCAAAACTGAATGTATGAAATTTAATTAGACAGCAGTATAAACATTTCCTCAGCTCCTCATTACCTGCCTCCATCCATCGAATGTGTTTATGCTTCAGTATCCTTTTTATTTCATGTCAGCCGGCTTTGATATCACAGCATATTCATTATTGTTCTTATTCAGTTAGGCAGCATTACACAGACAGACACACACGTTTTATGATTTTCATCATTATTTGTTTTATTTCAGGGCCCCAGTGGTGACGCTGGACCTGTAGGACCAAAAGGAGGTCCAGGTATTAAGGTAAAGAAAAGTGTTAAACACAGACACACACACACACACACACACACACACACACACACACACATTTACACTTGATATACACCTGACATTTTCAAACTACTTGTACAAAGTAATTAAAGTGTAAATGATATTTTGTACACATTTGAATATCTGTTTCGTGTAATGGTGAAAATTCTGAAAATGTAAAATAAAATAATTCAGAAAAAAACTTTCCCTCCTTTCTGACTCTTGTGTTCTGCTCAGGGGTCTCGTGGTAGCGAGGGCAAAGAGGGTTCTGAGGGACGAGAAGGACAGAAGGTATGGAAATAAAACAGGCTAAATGTGTACTTGATGTACATGTGAAGTACAAACTATTAACAATATATGTGCAAAAACTACTACTACTACTACTACAGAACTACTGTATTTAATCCAAGAGCCACATCGGTGATGTTTCATATCTACTCTAATCAGTGACTTGTGTTCTATATTTGGGTGAAAAATGTGATGTTACAGGTGATATTACAGCCGTGTTGCACTTCCTTCTGCTCACCTGTAGAGGTCGAGAGAGGTCATAGCTAACGTGATGTCTTTCTAACCATCCTGCTTCCTCCCGCAGGGTCAAACTGGAGCTCCCGGGTTCCCTGGTGACGTCGGCGACAGAGGATACACTGTAAGAAATGATCCCCAGTCATCATCTGAATATTTACTCTGAGCTGGTTTGGATTTGTGCTCAGGATCAGACCCCATAAGTCTTTCTTATTTAAGATCTAAAACGTGGATAATTATCATGGCTGGCAATGGCAGAACTCTAAAGGACTGCAAATTGTTAAACCCGATCTTCAAAGGTGATTCTTTTAGTTCACGTTCTCAACTCAGCATCAGAGTGTCGTAATATGCCACAATTTGAGCCAATATAAGAACCAGAGTAGGCACTTTGTGATCAGTTGTTTTGTCTCCAATCCAATCATCAGCATTATTATTGGTCACTAGAGAAAAATTATTTTTATTTGGTCAAATTTCATTATTCTAAGCATGATAATAATCTCACTTAAAATAGTATTTGAATGCAAGAAATCTTCCTCCTGTGCTCAAAATGTCCCATCAGACAGATTTATTAATGTGGACGATACATTTTTACTAAGAACAAAGCCTTTATACTCAGGTTAGGTTAGATTAAAGTTTTCATTGAGTTCTCCTTTTTTGTGTTTCCAATCTTATGACAACATTTAAAATTAAGTAAGTAAGCATGTGACAGGTCTGTGCTGTTTCCTTTATTGAGTTTCGTTCTGTCTACGTAGCAACAGATTAGATCACTCTCAGAGGGAACTAAAATATGTGGAACTAAGATTCAGCCAGTGTGACTTTAATAACTCCTTTTACTCGTTATTTAAGTGACTCCATCAGTTCTCCTGAATTAACTGTTTCAGTCATTTTTCCTCCTCATTGTGCCCAGGTTCCTTTGTGATAATCTTTCCTGTCTGTGTTCCTCAGGGTTATCCTGGACAGCCGGGATCCATCGGACCCAGTGGACCAAAGGTACAAACACACCTTTTCATTTTATTACTATAGTTTATGATTAAATATCCCCGATCAGATGTTTGTTCTCTGTTTGAATACCTCACTGTGTGGGTGTATATGTGTGTGTGTGTGTGTGGGTGTGTGATAAAGTTTCAGTTTCCGTAGTTTTAGTTTCCCCATGATTTCCAGACAGGAAATACTGAAACCTCATTGAAGTATCTCTCCAGTCCGAATGATTCAGTGTGACATAATGCTACTGGCTTAATCTCAAAGACTTACTGAGCGCATTCATAGGCCACAGAGAATTTATTTTATTCATACATGTCAGTGCTCCTGTAATGAATCACAATCCACACAATAGATACAATCCTGTACTGAAATCCCCTACAAGGAACTTCCATTCTTGTGTTGATTCTGGCAGCTCCTGTGGACAAAAACGTTTCATTGATTTTAAGGGGAAATCTGACAAGGTGGAATTAAAAATGACTAAATAAAAATAGCCAATCTTCTCTCTGATGGTCTTGTTTGTTTATGTAGGTCATACAGAGGCATACACTCATATATAACTCAATGTAGTGTGTTTAAGTACAGTAGTTGAGTAAATGTACTTAGTTACCAATATTGGTCACAAGTAAACATTGGTTTGTTACAGAAGCGTATTGCATTCACTTGAAATTGTATTTTTTCTTCTGTTTTTCAGACTAATTTATTTTCTGAGTTTAGAGCATTTGAAACAATACACATACATACATACATACATACAGACACATTCATTCCTTTATTGAGAGCTTGATTTAACGAAACAAACATGAGCAGTTGTTTAGTTTTACTTTGATCTGGGTTAAGACACGGGAGATATCCTGTCTTTAAGTCATATGTGTATTATCATTTAGTTTGTCGACTGAGGTAGATAGTTGAAGATGGGGCATGTATCTGAGGGCAGATTTACGCTTCCGTAACACAACACTTCCGTAACACAACAACACTGCCTGAAGTCTGAAGTCCTACCAGCGCCACCTGGAGGCTGCAGTGCTCATTAGTCAGAGGTTCCCAATCTATTTGGCTTGTGATTGTGGCCCCTTAAACAAACTACGGAAGCGTGGACCTATGGTGACTCCTGCCCTCAGATACATGCCCCATCTTCAACTATCTACCTCAGGTGTCTGCGTAGAGTCGACACACTAATGATAATACCATCTATATGACTTAAAGACAGGACTATCTCCCAGTGTCTGAAACCAGATCTTTAACGGAAACAAACATGAGTGGTTGTTACTAGTTCAATCAAGTTTT